GGTCATGATCCTGGAGTCCCTGGATCGAGTCCCGCATCGGGCTCCCTGCTCGGCAGGGAGTCTGCTTTGCCCTCTGACCCTATCCCCTCTCATGTGTTCTCTCTCATTCTCTCTCTCTCAAAATAAATAAATAAAATCTTAAAAAAAAAAAAAATGGACAGAACACATTAACAGACATTTCTCCAAAGAAGACATACAGATGGCCAACACACATGCAAAAATGTTCAACATGACTCATCATCAGGGAAATGCGTATCAAAACTACAATGAGATATCACTTTACACCTATCAGAATGGCTAAAACCAACAACACAAGAAACAAGTGTTGGCAAGGATGATGTGAAAAGGAACCCTTGTGCACTGTTGGTGGGAATGCAAACAGGTGCAAAAACAGTATGGAGGCTCCTCAAAAAGTTAAAAATAGAACTACCTTAGGATCCATTAATTGCACTATTGGGTAGTTTCCCAAAAATATGAAAACACTAATTCAAAAGGATACATGCACCCCATGTTTGTTGCAGCATTATTTACAATAGCCAAATTATGGAAGCAGCCCAAGTGTCCACTGGTAGATGAATGGATAACGAAGATATGTTACATATATACAATAGAATATTATTCAGCCATAACAAAGAATGAAATCTTGCCATTTGTAACAACATGGATGGAGCTAGAGAGTATAATGCTAAGCAAAGTCAGTCAGTCAGAGAGAGACAAATCCCATATGCTTTCATTCATACGTGGAATTTAAGAAACAAAACAAATGAGCAAAGGAAAAAAAGGAAGAGAGAGACAAACCAAGAAACGGACTCTCAACTATAGAGAACTGATGGTTACCAGAGAGAGGTGGGTGGGGGGATGGGGGAAATAGGCGAAGGGGATTAAAGAGTACACTTTTCATGAGCCCTGAGTAATGTACAGAATTGCTGAATCACTATATTGTACACTATATTGTACTCCCGCAGTTGCTAGACCCTGATAGCTCTGCTGCTAACCATACAGAACACTGTATGTTAACTATACTGGAGTTAAAATTTAAAAAATAAAAAAACAACAACAAAAAGGCTGGAAAGGAAGAGAGAACAAGTGGGAATCTGCAGTGATGGGAAGGTGTGTGGGCGTGGGAGGGGAGGTTATGCTGGGTGGAAGTCAGTAGTCCAGGCAAGAAACAATGGTGCCAGAGTGGAAGAAGAGAAGTAGATGGATTTAAGAGGTATGTGTGGAGGTAAAACACCAGATTGGGTGATGGACTGAACATCTAAGGTGATGGAAGTTTGCAGGAAGAATGATTCCACAGTTTCTGGCTAGCATATCTTAATGGATAATGGTGCCATTCATCGAGATAGGGAACACCAAGAGGCCCAAACTTAGTAAAATAACGGATTTGCTTTGAGGCATGTTGAATATAAAATGCCTTTGAGGTATCAGGTAGGCAGACATATTACAGAGGTTTATCTTTCAGAATAAAGGTGGCTCCGGACAAAAAAATGTGTGAGCAACTGACATAGTTGGTAATGGGATTGTCCTGGTAGAAGAGGGCCTAAAACATAACCTTGAGTAAACAAAAACTTACAATGAGGGACCGGCAAATAAAACGAGGAAAGACAAGCCAAGCCATAGAAGCCAAAAGAGTGTTATAAGAAAGAAGTAATGCTCAAAACTGCTCAAAAGAAGTAACTCTCAAACACTACTGAGAATTCTGGTTAAGTTAAAAACTGAAAAGTGTCTGTTAGATTTAACGACTTGGAAGCACCGCTAACTTCTGCCAGGGTTCTTGCCGAGGGTTCTTTCTATAGTGATCGAGGGAACAACGGATTGGCGTCTGTTAACTGCAGGTGAGCTGAAAACAGACAACTCGAGAAGTTTGGCTGTGCATAGGGGACGGGGAGGAGATAGGGAGTGGCCGCAGGAGGGTGATGGGGGACGATCAAGTTAATTTTGCTTCGTTTTCTTAAGTAGAAAAAACATGGACATGTTTAAAAGACGACAGTAAAACTTCGAGGAGAGGGTGTGAATTCTAGGGAGTCACCCGACGGTCCCCCCCCCTTATCTTCCCCTCCCGCGTTCTCTCCCCATCGCCTCCCAGAGCTCCTCTCTCCCTTCTCCACCCCCACAACCCCAGGGCCCACCGCCACCCCAGCCCGCCTGCCCGCAGGCGTCTCCTCACCGCAATGGCCCCCTCGCTCAGGTGGCCCACCATGACTGCGCCACGCCAACTCGCGCGCTCCGGCTTCTCCGCAGCCTCTGCTTCACTTACGATACCCCACGCGCTCCAAAGCTTTTGCGCCAAGTAGCTGTAGGGACCACCCCCGTCTTCTGACATGCGCAAGTCACAGGGGCGGGCTTAGGGGCGGAGCAGCCACCGCATTGGCCGAGGTAGCCCACGTGACGTACCAGAGCCCGGGTTCAGGACCTAGTCACCCGACGACTGCGCCTGGGGCGGGGCCCGAGCCGTGGGGCGCGCCAAGGATGACGCGGGTTCTTTCTCTGGGCGCGAGGTCCTGTACCGGAAGCTTTCCGAGACGGTCGTCGGGGAAAAAACCTGGCTCGGGCTTTGACGGGCAGACCGACTGTTAGCCCAGAAGAGAGTTAGAGTTGTTCCCTGATAGCTCTGCTGCTAACCGTAGGCAAAGCAGTAACGATTCCTTCAGCAACCCGAGTGCCGAGCTCCCGCCATTGCTAGACCCTGAGCTTGGCACAGTGGGGAATTTCCGAAGGTAAATAGGATCCGGTCCCTGCCCTCAGAGGAGAGCATAGTCTGTCGAGGGAGTTACCGCAGTGAGTAGCCCTAACTCCAGGTAGACATAATATGGGCCTCAGGAGAGACACAAAGTGTGTCTGCACGCACAGATGGAAAATCAGGGAAGGCTTCTTGGAGGAGGTGCCATTTGAACTTGGTCTTGAAGGGTGTGTGCAGATTTGCGAGGTGGACTCTGAGGGTAGAGATGCTCCCGGAAGAATGCATAACCTATGCAAAAACTAGAGAGGTGAATAGCCAGGCAAGCTGGGGATAGCTTTAAGTAGCTCAAGATAGTAGGGTACAAAGGAAGAGGTGAGACTTGGGCATTAGAAAATGAGCCCGGGGGTCAAATTTGTACTGGGCTTCCCTAAATGCTTGGAGGAGCATTGATTAAGGCAGAGGACTGACATCTGTTTCAGTGTGGAGGATGAATTGAATTTAGGGGGTAGGGTAGGGAACTGAGGACATGGAGACTAGTTATGATCCTGGAAAGGATGCCAGACAAGAGATGGTGAGGACTTGAACTAAAGGAATGATCTGGGGATTGAAAGAAAAAACTGAACTGTGTAAGAGATAGAAACATTTGTTAATTTAATAGTAGCTAGGGAGAGAGAGAAAAATCTGGGATGTCTCAGGTTTCTGACTTGAGCTTGGGAAGATGGAGGTCTAAGAGGCAAGCCTGGTGTGTGGAACAAAGTAGGCCTTCAGTAAATATTTCTGAATAAAACAATGTTCAGTGAATAGGTGTGAGAGAAAATAGATCCTCAGCATGTAAACCACAGAAAAAGACCACAAGAATTGATTTTGTTGCTTCACATTTGCTTGAGTGAAATCTTTATTTTTTTCTAGAATTGTGCATTTGTAGAAATCTGAATATCTTATTTTCTTATTCATTTTATAGACCTAAAGTAGAATGGATCTGCCTGTGGATGAGTGGAAATCATACATATTTCAGAAGTGGTCTTTGCTCCCAAAGTCCATTCAGGACACAATTTCTACGGCAGACACTTTAAGGGATATCTTTCTTCACTCCTCTTCGCTGCTTCAGTAAGTGTGTGAAAGCTTTAACCTGAGAAATCTTGATCTAAGAAATGTTCTGTTTTGTCATTTGGTCTCAAGTTCTGTCTCCTTTTCATGGAAGGATTAAGTTCAGATTTTTATATTTTGGGGCATTCAGCAGTTCTTGCTATTTCCAGGTTTTCCTAACCTACTATTATAGAACAGGCAGGGATGCTAATGGCTTTTTTGGTGTCAGTGTTATGTTTCAGTATTCAATGCCTTGCTACAGAAACTCGACTGTGAACTTTGCCATCTCCCAAAAGATGTAGTGGACATTTACTAGCACACATAGAAATTTGTAAGTGCTAAAATTGAGAAAGGACTTAAGTCATATAGTCCTACCCCAGTATTTTTCAAACTCTCTTGACTATTCTCAGTAAAAATATTATTTTATTATCACAACCTAGTATGTACATACATATATAGAAAGTTGAAACAAGAGTTTCCCAAAACATCCAGTGAATTTTTATTGGTGCCAGCCACTGTGCTAGATGCTTAGAGCACAAAAAATACATTAGTGAGGGGTGCCTGGCTGGGTCAGTCAGTAGAGCATGTGAATCTTGGTCTTAGGGTCATGAGTTCAAGCCCCACATTGGGCAGTAGAGCTTACTTTAAAAAAAAAAAAAAGAAAAATACATTAGTGAATAAAAAATAGACACAGGGGCACCTGGGTGGCTTAGTTGGTTAAGCAGCTGCCTTCGGCTCCTCCAGTCATGATCACAGGGTCCTGGGATCAAGCCCCATATCATCGGGCTCCCTGCTCAGCAGAGAGGCTGCTTCTCCCTCTCCTCCTGCCTGCTGCTCCCCCTGCTTGTGCTCTCTCTCTCTGTGTCAAATAAATAAATAAAATATAGACACAGATCCTTACCCTTGAGGAGCTTAATTCTGGCAAGGAGAGACAGACAATAAACATAAATAAGCAAAGTATATAGTATGTTAAAGGTGCTAAGTATAATAGAAAAAAAATTAAAATAAAACAGGGTAAGGGAAATAGGCAGTGCCAGGAGTGAGAGTGCAGACTGTAGTATTAAATAGTGTGATCAGATGTGGTCTCATTGAAAAGATGGAAGTTGAGGGGCACCTGGGTGGCTCAGTCAGTTAAGTATCCAACTCTTGATTTCAGCTCAGGTCATGATCTCAGGGTTGTGAGATCAAGCCCCCCATCAGTCTCCATGCTGAGCATGGAGCCTGCTTAAGATTCTCTTGTTCTCCTTCTGGCCCTCCACACTTGGGTGCACACGCTCTCTCTCTCTCTCTCTCTTAAAAAAAAAAAAAAAGGTGGGAGTTGAGCAAAGTCTTGGAGATATAGAAGCTAACAAATCAGATATTTGAGAGAAGAGTACTCCAGACAGAGATCCCAGGTTGGGAGTGTGTCTGGCATGTTCAAGCAATAGCAAGAAAGCTAGTGTGAGTGAACAGAATAAGCCAGAGGGAGAAGAGCAAGAAATAACATCAGAGAGGCATGGGGATTGGGGGATAGCAGGTGGCACAAATCATGTTGGCCCTCTTAAGTGCCTTGTCTTTTGACTCTGAGTAGGAAATTATTGCAGGGTGGGGTAGGCCGACTTCAAAAACTGATGCCCCCCCACCAGAAGTTGACCTTGAGATACAATTATCTGAGTGGTCCTAGCCTAATCAGGTGACATCTTTAAAAGCAGAGCATTTTTTTCCAGCTGGTAGCATAAAGGAACTTCAAAGAGATTCAAACCATGAAATGTGAATGTGCTTGTGTTGACTTTGAAGATGGAGGGGGACCACATAAGGAATGCAGGAAGCCTCTATAAGCTAAGAGTTGTTCCTGGCTAATAGCCAGCAAGGAACTGAGGATGTCAGGCCTACAACTGTAAGGAACTGGCTTCTACCAAAAACCTGAATGACCTTAGAAGTGGATTCTTTCCCAGGTCTTCCATATAAGAGGTCATCTTGATTTCAGCCTTGTGAGACCCTTCTCAAGAGAACTCAGCCAAGCTCACCTGCACTTCTGATCTATAGACTGTGAGGATAATAAATGGGTATTTAAGCTGCTGAAGTTGTGGTATTGGTTACACAACAGAAGAAAACTAATTCACAGGGTTTTGAGAGAATGGTACAATCTGATAATATTTTAAAGCAGAGGTCAGCAAACTACAGCTGCAGTGTAAATCCATCTTGCTGCCTGTTTTTATATGGCCATCAGCTAAGAATGGTTTTTACAGGTAAGCATTTAGTTGACTTGCTTTGAACCCCAATTAAGCAAAATCCATTAAAAAAATAAAGACGGGTGCCTGGGTGGCTCAATCAGTTAAGCGTCTGATTCTTGGGTTCAGCTCAGGTCATGATCTCAGGGTCCTGGGATTGAGCCCCATGTGGAACTCTGTGCTTGGTGGGCAGTCTGTTTGAGATTCTCTTCCTCTCCCTCTGCCCCCCCAAATAAATAAATAAATCTTAAAATAAAAAAAAGAATTCCATTCTCATTAGTAGACCTGTATTACATGGGGCACCTGGCCTGCTCAGTCAGAGGAACATGTGACTCTTAATCTCAGGGTCATGAGTTCGAGCCCCAAGGTGGGGATAGAAATTGCTAAAAAAAATTTTTTTTAAAGTAGACCTGTGGGGCACCTGGGTGGCTCAGTCAGTTAAGCGTCTGCCTTTGGCTCAGGTCATGATCCTGGAGTCCTGGGATCAAGCCCCACATCCTGCTCCCTGGGGAGTCTACTTCTCCCTCTGCCGCTCCCCCCACTTGCGTGTGCACACTCTCTCTCTGTCTCACTCTTTCTCTCTCAAATACTTTTTTTTTTTTTTTTTTTTTTTTTAAGATTTATTTGACAGAGAGAGACACAGCGAGAGAGGGAACACAAGCAGGGGGAGTGGGAGAGGGAGAAGCAGGCTTCCCGCAGAGCAGGGAGCCCGATGCGGGGCTCGATCCCAGGACACTGGGATCATGACCTGAGCCGAAGGCAGACGCTTAACGACTGAGCCACCCAGGCGCCCCTCTCTCAAATACTTTTTAAAAGTAGATCTGTATTACAAAAAATAGACTCAATTATTTTTTAATTTTATCAAACATTTTACAGAAATTTGTCTTCTCGTATAGAAATACCTCTGTAATAGCCTTGATTTTCCTCTTGGCCCAAAAAACCTGAATATTTACTCTCTGACTTTCCACAGGAAAAGTTTGCTGACTCCTGTTTCAAGAGATCACTCTGACTACAGTGTTGAGAATAGGCTATAGAAGAAAGGGTGTAATTAGAGAAACCTGTTGGGAGGCTCTTGCATTAATCCAGGTGAGAGATGAGGTGATGATAATTTGGACCAGGGTGGTAGTGGTAAGGATGATGAGAAGTGGCTAGATTCTGAAGGTAGACTTAATAGCATTCCCTGAAAGATGAGATGTGCTGTGTTAGAGAATGAGAGAAGTAAAAAGTGGCTCTGGGGATACAGGCCTAAGAAGAATGAAATTACCATCACCTGGGGGGGGGCGGCAGATGGAGCTGTTTTGGGAAAGATGATCAGGGGTTCATCGTTCAGTTTGAGATGTCTAGTAGACAGCCAAGTGGAACTTTCTAAATGAGCATGACATTTAGGAGAGAGCACTGGGCTAGAGATAGAAATTTGGGAGTCATACATGGGATTTCAAGTCACAGACTGGATAAGTTTCACCATGGAAGAGAGTGTAGATGCTTACTGCATATGATGTACTTCAGTATTTTCCTCTATCTCATTTTAAAAATACTAATTAGGGGTGCCTGGGTGCCTCAGTTGGTTAAGCGTCCGACTCTTGATTTTGGTTCAGATGGTGATCTCAGGGTCCTGGGATCCAGCCCTGTGTGGGGCTCTGCGTTTGGTGGGAAGTCTGCTTGGCATTCTGTCCCTCTCCCTCCACCCCACCCTTGCGTGCTCTCTCTCCTCCCTCCCTCTCTCTCACTTTCTCCCTCTCTCTTAAATAAGTAAATCTTTAAAAAATACAAATAGGGGCGCCTGGGTGGCTCAGTTGGTTAAGCGGCTACTTTCAGCTCAGGTCATGATCTCAGGGTCCTGAGATCAAGCCGCACATTAGGCTCCCTGCTCAGTGGGGAGTCTGCTTCTCCCTCTCCCTCTGCTGCTCCCCCTGGTTGTGCTCTCACGCTCTCAGGTAAATAAATAAAACCTTAAAAAAAAAAAAAGAATAGAAATTTAAAAATTAAAAATACAAATTAAAAAAAATTTTCAAATAAAAAAATAAAATTACTAATCAGGGGGCACCTGGGTGGCACAGTTGGTTAAGCCACCAACTCTTGGTTTTGGCTCATGTCATGATCTCAGGGTTGTGGGATCAAGCCCATGTTAGGCTCTGCACTCAGCATAGAGTCTGCTTAAGACTCTCTCTCCCTCTATCCTCCCCCAAAATAAAGAAATAAAATCTTTAAAAAATAATAGTAATCAGGACCCACTAAATTGATTTCATGACCCACTCAGTCGTGACCTACAATTTGAAAAATAATGTCTAAAGCTCTGCAGGATGTGTGGATTCCCTTTACAGAATTTCCAAAGATGATAGATACCTGTTGATGAAAATATTAATAGGCAGAGTTATCCGAAGATAATTTGATATGGTTTACTAACAGCAAGATGTCATAATCCACAAGAATCATTTGAACTTTTGGTGCACTGAAAGGAATATAAATCAAGAGAATTTGCCTGGTCATTTAAAATTGGAGTTCCTCCTGACTCCAGCCTAGGCTGTCTTTCCTTTCCACTCTGTATTCTCAACTGATAACAGTCTCATTCACACCCATGACATCGGTTATGTCCTATATGCTAATTACCCTGAAAATTATATGTCCAGCCCTCACCTCTCTTCTGAGACTCAAATCTCTAAATCCAGCGGACTACTTGAAGTCTCAAAGATACTTAAAATTCAGGGGCTCCTGGGTGGCTCTGTCTGTTAAGTGTCTGCCTTTGGCTCAGGTCATGATCCCAGGGTCCTGGGATTGAGCCCCACATTGGGCTCCCTGCTCAGAGGGAAGCCT